TACAAAACAATTATTATTTTCCAATTTGATTTATTCCATAAGATATTCCTCCTGAAACTGCAACTCCTAAAGCAGTTCTTCCTATTACGGGTAAAAGTCTTGGTAAAGGTCTTGAAGCTATCGCTTCTATCGCTCCGATAAATTTTCCACGCATTCGTCTTTTGTAGCGTCTTTTTGTGCGTTTTTTTTAATTTAGTTTTTTGTTCATTTTTTAAAAAAGAATTTACTAGCTCCCTGTAGTGTTACCAATAATGGTATTCCCGCTAATATACCAGTTAATCCTGCAGCTAAACCTAAAGCTCCTAATCCTTTACCACGTATTCTTCTTTTTAAACGTCTTTTATGGCTTTTTCCTCTTAATCTTTTGCGCATTTTGTAAAAATAAATTTATAAGCGAGGTATTAGAGAAGGTAATAAACCACCAGCCAATAAAGCGCCTAATATCGGAAGAAATTCACCGCGCATTCGCTTTCTTCTACCAGCTCCTTTTAAAGGAGCTAAACAGACTCTTCCTTTTCCTCGATGTCTACAGTGATGTCTGCGATGATGTCTTCTAGACATTGCGTTGTTTTTAAAGATAATTGAGCGCGTAACCTCCTAAGTCAGATCGAAGTAAACGTGTAGCTATATTTTTTACTTTAGTAAATATTCTGCCTTTTCTTTTTTTTTAAATTTTTTTTAATTAAATAGTCGTACATGCATAAAAAAATACAATTCAAACATGGTGAATTTAACCAAAATAAAAACGTTAAGATGATTTAAATTTAAAAAGCAGGATAATATGTATAATTTTCGTCTTCTCCTGTTCCGGTTTGAATCAACTGCGCTCCGTATTGTAAATATATAGTGAGTACAGCTCTAATAAGTTCTGTGAAATTGACGACAATTTGAAAAAAGTTGTTTCCGGCTATGGTGGCTGGAGGTTTGTCGTTGATAAAATTGAGTTAAGATGATTTAAATTTAGTTAAAGTTAAGATGAGTTAAGACAAATTTAGTTAAAATTAAGATGATTTAAATTTAGCAGGATAATATGTATAATTTTCGTCTTCTCCTGTTCCGGTTTGAATCAACTGCGCTCCGTATTGTAAATATATAGTGAGTACAGCTCTAATAGGTTCTGTGAAATTGACGACAATTTGAAAAGAGTTGTTTCCAGCAATGGTAGCTGGAGGTTTGTCGTTGATAAAATTGTAATCGCTTGTTGTGTCTATTGCTAAAGGTTTTGTTAAATTAGTGTTTTACTAAAATAAGTGTCTAAATTTTTAATAAAAGTGTCATCGTCTGCGGTATAAAACTCTGCAAAATTATTAATGTTTAAAGTAGACGGCGTGTTACCTTTACACCAAGAAATGTAACCGCAATAACAAAGTTGTTGATCTTCTACTTTGTTTTGCAAATCTATTTCATAAGTGTCGCCAGTTTAACATTTCCGTTTGCTTCGATACTTAGTTTTGAAATAATAGTATTTTCGTTATTAGTTACATAACGTAAATGTGTGATGGTGTCAAATAAGTATTTTAAATTGAAATACTTTTGAATGCTAATATTACTACTTTTGTTTTGATAATTTGAAAAAAAATCTCCAAAAGTCAATCTTCTGTTTAAAGTTGTATTAAAAAGTTCTAATCTTCTAATTAAGAAATCGCCTTGATACGGACTCGGATACGTTACTCCAAATAGTTTACCATAAGCAACAATCGAACACATGAATTCCAAATGAACTGCATCCATATGTTCAACTCTTAGTATGTCATAATTTTGAAACGTGTCTCTGGTAAAACAGCAAAATCGGTATACAAAACAATTTTTTTAGTTACAAGATAAAATGGAATTTTCCTATTAGGATTGGATGTCATGTCGTTTTGAATATCTGTCATCATTTCTTTTATAGACGGTTTGGTTTGCATTCTTAATCCGTAACTGTTTTCTGTTATCGAAATGTTTTCGTCTATACGTGTAAAATTAGTTGGAACGTCCACCGATGATAAATGCATAATGGTGTTTTTATTAAAATACGGTTTATCTAGATTGTTAGCAGATAAGGGTAAACTAAAATCGTTCAAAACGTTGTAATGTACACTTTCTTGCTCTTTATTTTTAATTTGACTAAAAAAATACGTACTGCAATCATACTTAATTACATCTAAAACGTCATTAAAAACTAAATTGTTCATTTTTTTCACTTTACAGATTTTTGCAAAGATTTTTTTAAAGGTTTATAAAACGTGTTTACATATTCGTTAAAATTTTTAAAATAAATGTCGAAATGTCGATGTTAAAATAGAAACAAGTCTTCTCTCTTGACTTTATGCGTTGTATTTAAATCGTCGACTTGTCCTACTTTATAAATATGAACCGGTATATATCCTTGCACCGATAGGTTGGTGCGTTTTATGACGATGACGCGTTTTGTAGTGTCCCAATACGGATCATTGAGCGTGGTCGATTTGCTATAGGTGTCTTTGGCGTCTTTTTTGTATTTTCTCAAATAACATTCTTTTCCGATAGAAAGCGGTTTTAAGAGATTTTAAGTTTTTGATTTTTGTAATCTTTTTCTACGCGATGCAACATGTTGGACGAAAAGTTGTATTTTCGTCTTTTGTTGCTTAAGGCGGTTCTCCACTAGTCGAAAAATGTCGCGGCGGGCGAAATTTTTCGCTGCTCCACATGCGCAGCTGAGTCTGCAATACAGGGATAACAATTTCGCTGCGAAAAAATCGCTCCGCAAAAAGTTTGAAATTTATTAACTTTTCGCTCATCGACTATTTATCGTTTTAAAACAAACCAATCACATTACTTAAAAATATTAAAAATAAAGATGGAAGTTTCTAATATATAATAATTAATAGAAGATGATGAAAATGAACCTAATGAAGAACAAATTTGAGGTGAATTTGATAAAAAAAGCTTTATTGAGGCTGTTTGCAAATTTCGGTGTCTCTGGGACACAAACGAAAAAAGCTACAAAGATAGAAATGTGAAAGTAAATTCATGGAAACAGCTTTCAGTAATTTTTAATCAGGATGGTATAAAACTTTATCTTGTTAAATACACTACAAATTTTTTACAAATTTGTTTAACAAGATAATATTTTGGGTTTGTTGATAAAAAAACTCTACATATTCATATATATATATATATATATATATATATATATATATATATATATATATATATATATATATATATTTATATGTTATATATATACATATATATAATATATATATATATATATATATATATATATATATATATATATATATATATATATATATATATTTATATGTTATATTTATACATATATATAATTATATATATATATATATATATATATATATATATATATATATATATATATATATATATATATATATATATATATATATATATATATATATATATATATGTATATATATATATATATATATATATATATATATATACATATATGTATATATATATATATACATATATATATATATATATATATATATATATGTATTTATATATATATATATGTATATGTTATATATATATATATATATATATATATATATATATATATATATATATATATATATATATAACATATGTATATGTTATATGTATATGTTATATATATATATATATATATATATATATATATATATATATATGTATGTATATGTTTTTTTATCAACAAACACAAAATGTATATATATATATATATATATATATATATATATATATATATATATATATATATATGTATATATATATATATATATATATATATATATATTTATATATATATATATATATATATATATATATATATATATATATATATATATATATATATATATATATATATATATATATATATATATGTATATATATATATATATATATATATATATATATTATTTTGTGTTTGTATATATACATATAATATATAATTTATGTATATACACATATATGTATATATACTTATATATATATATATATATGTATATATATATAACTTTGTGTTTGATTAACATTTAATGAATTCATACATTCTGTATTTAGTATGTGTTCTACAAAAAACCTTAAAGAATTTGAAAGATAATCTAAAAAAATGTTTAGATCGAAGACGAGCTCTTACAAAATCTGGAGCTGGAGCTTTTTCCTTGGCAAAATGTAAATACTTTGATCAAATGGCTTTTCTTCATGAAAAAAGTTCAAACAAACCAACCGTGAGTAACGTAAAATCGACTACTGAATGTACAAATTCTAAAAACTTGAATGAATATAATGCTAGTTTGACTACAGAACTAACAACCTTGCCAATTATTTCTCAACCTTCCATCCCTGCAGATGATTCAAGCAAGAAATGTAAAGATGTACGTATAAACAAAAAGCGAAAATCAGTTATAGAAAAATCCGATAACCTTTTTTTAAAGCAAATGAAAGATCTGGACAATTGTTTAATCGATTCTTTAGAAGAAAAAAACAAAACAGTCTGTGAAATGTCTGCTTTTTGTAATAGTCTTATTCCTGTGCTGCAAGGATTACCAATAAAAAAAGGCAAGACTAGCTAAGTTAAAAATAAATCAATTTTTATTTGAAATAGAATTTGGAGTTGAGTATGAGTATGAAGACATTTAGAATTTTATAAGTTCTATTTTATTAGTTCTATTTATTTTCTCTTAAAGATAAAAAACAAAAATATAATTATTATATTTAATCAAAATAAACTTTTGTTTAATTTCATTTTACTCGCTTTACAATATCTAATTGCCAATCTACTGCACCTTCTTGATTAAAAAATTCTTTAAAAGAATCCCTTACTTTTTTTGCAGTGTCAGAGTAGTTATTTGATGTATTGTTTATAACTACTAAACCATTAACACTAGGCACCTCTTTTCTCCAATCACCAAGTTGTATTCCATTCGGTCCATCCTGATCAACAAAGTTTAAAGGGCAGTAACTATTACACTGGCCAACAAAAAAAAATTTTTTTTTGTTGCAGAGGATATTTTTACGAATTTATAGTATATCGGGTGTGCTGATTTCAGAAATGACATTAGTTTTCCACGATTGGCTCTAGTTCTTGAGATACAGGGTGTTCCAGATATATTCTTATACAAATATCTTCGTTCATGCATATTTTACAGTAAAATAGTTTTATTTCTTTTTAAAGGGCATACCTTTATATATATATATATATATATATATATATATATACATATATATATATATATATATATATATATATATATATATATATATATATATATATATATATATATATATATATATATATATATATATATATATATATATATATATATATATATATATATATATATATATATAAAGGTATGCCCTTTAAAAAGAAATAAAACTATTTTACTGCAAAACATGCATGAACGAAGATATTTGTATAAGAATATATCTGGAACACCCTGTATCTCAAGAACTAGAGCCAATCGTGGAAAACTAATGTCATTTCTGAAATCAGCACACCCGATATACTATAAATTCGTAAAAATATCCTCTGCAGCAAAAAAAAATTTTTTTTTTGTTGGCCAGTGTAATAGTTACGGCCCTTAAACTTTGTTGATCAGGATGGACCGAATGGAATACTTCTTCACGAAGAGGATGTTTGAATAACCCCAATGCATTTTGCCACATCTGTGGTGAATATTGCCAGAAGAGCCAAAGAAGAAATATTACTAACTTTGTGCAGCAAGCATATCTGGCATACTTTGGAATGAAACTCGGAGACCAAGATAATTCTTGGGCTCCCCATATTGTATGTAAAACGTGTGTCGAAAATCTACGTCAGTGGAAAAATGGACAAAGAAAAGGCTTAAAATTTGGTGTGCCTATGGTATGGCGGGAGCAAAAGAATCACGACAGTGACTGGTATTTTTGTTTGGTTAATGTGAAAGGTATCAATCGTTTCAAGAAACGTAAATTTGAGTATCCGGATTTAGAATCAGCAAGGCGACCTGTACCACACTCAGACGATGTCCCCATTCCAGTGTTCACTACACTCCCAGATCTAACAGTGTCTGATGAAGAAGATATGCAGAATTTGGTGTGCGAACATGCAGATAGTGGTAGTGAATATGAAGACAGTACTTCTAAACAGCAACAGTTCTCCCAAGAAGAGATCAATGATTTAGTACGAGACTTAAGTCTATCCAAGCAAGATACTGAGCTTTTAGCATCTAGACTAAGTGAAAAGAACAGTTTGAAGGCCGAATGTAAAATAACTTTTTTTCGGACAAGAGAGGCAGCACTTCTTCCATATTTCATTCAAGAAGAAAAAATAGTATACTGTAGGAACATCCCTGGACTCCTCCTCCAAATGGGGTTACCTGAATACCGACCAGAAGATTGGCGATTGTTTATAGATAGTTCGATGAGAAGTTTGAAGTGTGTTTTATTGCACAATAGCAATAGTTATGCATCCATCCCAATACTTCACTCAACAAAACTGAAAGAGGAATATGAAAATATAAGAATGATGTTGCAGAAGCTTAGATACAATGATCACCAGTGGTCTATATGTGTTGATTTAAAGATGGTAAACTTCTTACTAGGGCAGCAAAGTGGATATACTAAGTACCCTTGCTTCATATGTTTGTGGGATAGTAGGGCTAAAGAAGACCACTGGAAAAAGGTGGTATGGCCTGCGAGGGAAAATGACTGTAGGTGCATCAAATATCATTAACGAACCACTGGTAGACAGGGGGAAAATTATTTTCCCACCACTCCACATCAAACTAGGACTGATGAAGCAGTTTGTAAGAGCCCTAGACAAAGATGGTCAATGTTTCAAATATATTTGCAGATTTTTTCCAGGCTTGAGTATGGAGAAAATCAAAGCTGGAATCTTTAGCGGCCCTCAAATTCGCCAAATCATCAAGGATGAGCAGTTCCTATATACAATGACAGATATTGAAGCATCTGCCTGGAAAAGTTTTGTCTTGGTTGTTCATAACTTTTTGGGCAAACATAAATCTCCCAACTATGAAGAAATCGTACAGAAATGCTTTCAGACTTCAAAACATTGAAAGCTAATATGAGCATAAAAGTTCACTTTCTACATAGTCACTTAGATCGGTTTCCCGATAATCTAGGAAGTTATAGTGAGGAACAAGGGGAGAGGTTCCATCAAGATATCAAGGTAATGGAAGAAAGATACCAAGGAAGATTGGATACACACATGATGGCTGACTATTGTTGGAGCCTTCAACGTGATTGTCCACATTCTCCACACAAAAGACAATCATACAGACACCGATTTTTAATGCATTAATTGTGATTTCATTGTACTGATTTGAATGTTTTGATCTATTAGCATTGTATGTACTTCCCCATAAACAATTTGATATATATATCTAGTGTTTTTTTTGTGAATTACGCTACAACCTAACATAAATTGTTGCTATTAATGTACTTTCGTGACCACCCTGTATCTCAAAAACTAGAGCCAATCTAGGAAAACGGATGTCATATTCGGAATCAGGGCAACAAGTTACCTATAAAATGACCCCCAAATGTTTTAGCGCAAAATCTTTGTTGGCCAGTGTTATTATTATTTACATTTTCAGTCATTAAAAAGTTATGTAAAGCAACTACAGCCTTTGTTATTGCAATAACATTTTCAACATTAGCTATAATTGGTTTATGAAAAACACGAAATCTACTTGATGCAATACCGAAGGCGTTTTCAACAACTCTTCGCGCTCTACTAAGTCTATAGTTGAAAATAAGTTTATCTGTTAAAAGATTTTTAAAAGCATAGGGCTTCATCATGTGAACATGCTTCATCATTTGAACATGCTTACCATCAATGGCACCAACACAGTGTGGAAAATGCCATCTGGTTTCAAATTCGTAGGCAATTTTTTCCCACTCAATTTCAGAATTAGGCGTTTTTACGTATTCTCGTAACAAGTTGTTCCAAATAGCATTACAAGTTTCATGAACTATTCTGCCAACAGTGGTTGGTGACATTCGATAATTAGCAGCTAATCTAGTATGTGCATCCCCAGTTGCCAAATACCTTACTGTTATAGCAAGCCTTTCTTGTACACAAATAGGTTTACGCATTTTCGTATTATTTTTTGTTATATCATGAGCCACAATTTGTAAAAGTCTTTCAAAAGTTGAAGGAGACATTCGAAAATATTTGAAAAAAATCTCATGATCATAAAGTGTCAAATCATTAATAAGAGTTTGATATTCCCCCTTCAACTTTCTCTCGTTGTAAATCTTTCTAATCCAAAAACGTCTTTTTTTCTTTTTTCTCTTTGCCATATATAAATATTCGTGTATATCTTTCAGAGAAGAAGTAACAATTTTAACTTTTCCATCTTCTTTTTTTATCGCAAAATTGTAATACTTTTGATAAAGCGAATAACGCTTTTGTTTTCATGTGGAGATTGACACATTTTGGCGGCACGAAAATTTGATTAATCTGCGCATGTGGAGCAGCGAAAAATTTCGCCCGCCGCGACATTTTTCGACTAGTGGAGAACCGCCTTTACGTATTGATCAATCATTCGCAAAACTTTACCTTTGGCGTCGTCGGCGTCTAAATCTTCTGGACTTATTCCGCTCGTTGATTTTTCTTTTTCGTTTAATTCTTGTTCAATTTCTTCGATATAATAACTCTAATTCATTTTTTAAAGTTTTCCTTGGTTTTTTAATTTTTGATAAAGTAATTTTAAACGTCCGATGACTGATTCTGCTATGTAGGCTTTTCCGTAATTTTTACTATGAAAGTGATGTATGTTTTCGGCTTCACACCATTCTTTCATTTTGGAATTAAAAAACTCTGTACCTTCGTCTGTTTGTAAATAAATAAAAGATTTGTCGTCTCGTTGAACAGTTTTAAAAATGTCTTTAAAAATATGTTTAAAGCTGCTACTGTTTTTTTAGCAGTTTTTTTTTTCATAACTCTCAAATATACTTTTCCTGAAACACCGTCAACTACTACTAAACAATAATCAGGACGATAACTGGGATTGAAGTTAAAACTTTCCATGTCTGCTAAATCGGCTTGAAAATATTGGTACGGTTTTTCGTAAGAAACTTGATGAGTAAACTTAAGGTTTGATTTTTGACGTTGACGCTAGCTGTTTTTTTAAAAGTTGCGTTTAATGAGACCAAGCCGTTATCATTTCTTCCCATTTTGCGTAATCCGAATCTTCTAATAACGTTATCATTTTTTCGTAAAATTTTAAATCTGTAGCATTTTTTTTCAAAGTGTTCATTTGTGCCATTATTTTTTTATTTTTGACAAGTTGGTCATGCCAAACAAACGACTAGATAATTCGTCAAGTTGGTTTTCAACAAGTTTGTCAATTTTATCTCTTAACGCGTCGTCCATTTTTTTTTTAAATGTCTTCTAATTTTTTTCTCAGAGGATATTTCTTTTTACGAGTTAGAAGACGTAAGATAGAGTTAGAAAAAGTAAGATATAACATGTGTTCGCATACAGGTAAGTTTTGAACTACGTTCGTATCGTAATTGTTGATCATGAGATTGTAAATGTTTTTGTCAATCATATAAACGTTATTGCTTTTGATAAAATCTGACAAAATGTCAAATTTGTGTCCTCTAAACATTTCTCCGTATTGCAACAACCACGCGTTGACAATGTCTTTTGTTTCGGATAAAAGATTAAAAGCGACATTACCCGAAAAACTTTTGTCCGTTAAAGAATCGCTTTATAAAAAAGAACTAGTCATTACCGTATAAGGATGTCTCAAAAACGTTTGTTAACAGGTGCTTTCGGGCGTTAATTGGCTTTCGTTTCTAAAAGGTATGTTATAATTTTTTGTGTAATTCCACAGTTTAGCAAATGTGAGATGTTAGATGTGATAGTAATCAGCCACCATTCTCAAATTGCTCATACTGTGAGGTGAAACAAGTAAAGTTAAAAATTCGTTATCGAAGTAAGAATATTGTTTGTGATCTTTTATTATTTCGTAAGAAGTGTTGGAAACGTTGTTGACGATGCTAGCTAACGATTCTTTTACATCGATAACGTTCGATAATGTATATTTTTAAATTGTTCAAAGTTGCGAGCTCACTTCTAGATTTATAAACGCGTAAGGAAATTTGATGAGAACCAAACGTATGATTGACATGATTTATGCACATGTCTAACAGATGACGAGCTAATTCGTCCATTTTATGTCTAGCTAAATTTCCCATAAGTTTGGCTGTTTCGGCTTCGTTAGGTTTTTCGTAAAACGTTAAAATTGAGAAATGGGAGTCAAAACGTAAACTTTTTTGTTAGATTGTTGAATGTTGTTCAACGTAGATCGTTGTGATAAATTATTTAAACTCGATTGTACAGAGTTAGGAGGCATGGGATTTAAAGAGTTATTATTTTCTTGAGGGGTAAATTTTTATAAGTTTCTCATCATTCTTAAAGTTTTGAAAATATTTCTTTGACCGATTTGATTGATAAATTCGTTGTATTTGTTTTGTCCAATTAATTTGCTAAAAGCGTGAGCGTCACCTCCGACGTTCAGATAAGTCTTCCATTTTTCTTGATCGTTGATGAGCAAAGTTGACAAATCACCGTTTCGCATTGTTTCGACGGGTAACAATTTGTTAAGTTGCTGTTGAAAGTCTATTTCGCCTGAAAATTGGGCATCTGCTGTTAAAGGATCTGCATAGATGAGGAAAGAAGGTAAATCATATCTTTCAATTAAATTAGAAGCATCAGTTTTGTTTGTAGCTTCTGGAACAGGGTTAGGGATACTTTCTATTTCTTGTTTTTCCTCCATTTGTAATCTCATTTTTTTGTAAATATCAGTATTGTAAGCATTTTGCGATAGTATTTTTTGCAAAGCGAGCCAGGGATTCTGAGAAAATTCGTGAGGATTATATCTTTTCAAAATAAAAGAAATTTTTTTTTTTTTTAAATAACACAATTTTATCTTCAAAATACTACGAATCTTTTTGACAATAGTCAATATCAAATTGCTGTCTTAACAAATCGATAACAGTTTTTGTAGGTTGTAGCGTATCAAATGAAATTAATTTGTTAGAGCAATATTTTAAAATTTCGTGATAAAGTTTAAAACGAGTAGAGTTGAAATATTCTTTTAAAACGTCGTAATTGTTGTAAACAAAATCGGATATGGCTTTGTTTTTATCTTTCATTTTTTCACTTTTTCACAATTGTCATTTTAACACTTTACGCAGAGTTTTTTTTCTACACAAAGTTTTTTTAAAGTTGTTTACAACTTTTTTTAATTAAAAAATTCCCTACTTAATACCTATGTAAAAAGCAAGATAAAAAGCAAGATTAATACCTATGTAAAAAGCAAGATTAAAAGTTTCTAAATATAACTTGTTTGTCACAAAATTCTTTTATTTTACTTAATCTGTAGGGATTAACTAATTGACATAAAAACAGCATTTTTTTAAATATGAATTCAAACGGCAATAACAAAACTTGTACGAAAAATAGCAGTTAAAGTAATTGAAACTATCGTTATAGACGATGAGCAAGAATTAGAGTTTCAAGAAATAGATTTGACCGTTGAAGAATTTATGAAAAAACTTAATGAAAAAACACAAAAAACAACATTACAGATAGAAGGAGCCGAAGAGCCAAAAGAATCAGTGCATTTTCAGGTGGATAAAAAAAAGGTAAGAATTTCTATACATAAAAAATTATTTTTTTTAAACATTAAAAAAAATATTTTTTTTAGAAAA